TCAGTTCTCAAGTGCTTTAGCTTGGTTTCCATCTTTTTTTCTGTAACAGTCAGCCAGTCCCTGAACCTCTGAAAAGCTTCATCTTTTGATTTAAGGATGAAAACCCATACCTTCCTGGTATAGTCATCTATGATGGACATGAAGTATCTCCCTCCTCCATGAGTCTGAGTTCTGGCTGGCCCCCATAAATTGTTGTGAACATAGTCAAGGGGTTTCTTTGATGAGGGAGTTACGGTAGAGAACTTCACCCTGGTGGCCTTCCCCAAAACGCATTGTTCACAGAATTCCAGTTTGCTGACTCGATCTTCACATAACAGACTTCGCTTGGACAGTTTTTGTAAGACTCTTTCACTTACATGCCCCAGTCTCATGTGCCATAGTCTTATCCTGTCAGGTTCTGATTGAACTGCATTTGAGAAGTTGTCGATCACAGTTCTTCCAACTAGGAGTATAGTCCATTCTTTCTGACTCCTTTCATGACTATGAGAGAACCTTTGGATACTCTGATGCAGTCATTCTCTGCCTTGAATGAGTATCCACTTGACTCCAGCGTACCTAGAGAGATCATATTTGTTTTGAGTTCTGGGACATACCTGACGTGCTGCAGTATCCTTTCAGCTCCAACGAACATCTTGATTCTGATTGTCCCGCTGCCGACTACCCTGCAAGCTTTATTATCACCAAGTAGAACAGGCCCACCGTTCTCCAGCTACAGTGACTTGAACTAGTATTTTTTGGGACACATGTGGAAGGAGCACCCTGAGTCAAGGATCCACTCCCTGCTAGATTCAGATTCTGTGATCGTCAGAGCTTCAGTTGAATTATAGCCATCTGAGGCTACGCTTGCCTCTCCAGAATCTGTGGGCTTCTCCTGAAAACTTTTCTTTCTATCCGGACAGTTTCTTCTAAAGTGACATTCCTTGTGGCAGTGGTAACACCTGTTAGATCTCCTAGAAGACTGACTTCTGTCATTCCTTTTGGATTTTGATCTACTCTAATCACTTTTGAATCTTGCTCGATCTTCCTCTATCTGTCAGACTATCTCCACTGGTTTCCTCTTTCATGTCGTGCTTCTTATGGAGTTCTTTAGCTCTAATAAGAGATTGAACCTCTTCTAGAGTAATAATCTGCGCCCTTCCATAGAGCATCACATCCTAGACATCCTTGAAATGCTCGTAGCTCTTAGGAATAGAGTTTAGCAACGGCAGTGCCTTGTCCTCATCGTCCATCTTGACATCGATGTTCTTGAGGTCATTTCGAGGTCGTCGATGATCTTGTTGAACTCGCCAATCTGCTCTGAGACGGATTTATCTTCTTGCATTTTGAAGGAGTATAGGCGCTGCTTCAGAAAGAGCCTATTAGCTAGAGACTTTGTCAGGTAGAGTACCTCGAGGTTGGCCCAAAGTGCTTGAGCCGTTGTCTCCCTCGACACCTCCCTAAGAACTTTGTCGCCCAAGCTCAGTATTATCAAACTGTGGGCCTTGTCCAGTATGCCGATCTTCTCCTTCTCACCAATATAGCTCTCATCTTTACTCTCCATAAACCAAAATCATTATTCCCGTTGAATTTCTCGATGTCGAATTTGGCGGAACCCATTATTGTGGCTCGATCCCCACTAACGTCTGAAATCCGCTCCGCTGAGAACCT